GTGTGTGTGTACGTGTGTGTACCTGTGTGTGTGTATACACCTGTCTATATGTGTGTGTACCTGTGTGTGTGTGTACCTGTATGTGTGTGTGTACCTGTTTGTGTGTGTGTGTGTACCTGTGTGTGTGATGAGTCTGTATGAGGTGAAGCCCACGCTGTCAGTCAGGTAACAGGTGAACTGTTCAGGTCTCAGTCTCAAACTCCTGAAGTTTCGATCCGTCGCCTCCTAAAACACACAAGTTGGTTTTAGTGTGTATTTGTATATATATACATAAATATGCATATATATGTATTTATGTATATATATATACACAGTATAATATACATAAATACTGTATATACAGTACATACATATATCAGTGTTTAAGTTTAAGTTAAGTTTTTTGTCATATACATTTACACATATATACGAAATTTGTCCTCTGCATTTAACCCATCCCTAGCTTATTGGGAGCAGTGGGCTGCTGACAAGTGCCCGGGGAGCAGTTAGGGGTTCAGTGTATTGCTCAGGGACACTTCGACATAGGATCTTGTCGGATGACCCTCTCTACCCAGTGAGCCACGACCGCCCCAGTGGTGTAACAGACAGTAGGATTAATTACACGTTATCTCGTTATCTAATAATGTTACACTGTGAACAACTAATCTGAGTTTAAATCGGCAGGAGCGCTAGTAACGTCGGTAGCGTCAGCCGGTAACATCAGGTGGTAGCGTCAGCCGGTAGCGTTAGTCATCTCAACATAATAAATACAGGACACACATAAATTACCGAGGCCCTCTTGCTGTGGCTGTAGCTGCTCCACGGTTGCGGCTCCAGCACAAACAATCCCCCCGGCGACAAGCTCTGATAGGCTCGTCTGAACAGAGTGACCACGCCCCCGTCGCCCGACCTCAGCTGCACCCACTTGGTCACGCCCAGACACACGATGACGTCATACTGGCCCCGCCCAGGCCACCAGTCACGCCCAGACACGTAGTCGCCCTGTGGGAGGAGTCACAGCTGTGATGATGATGTCAGAGGCTCATGTACTGGATATCCAGGTGTGAGGTGTGAGACTCACCTGGATGAAGCTGACGTTGTTAGGGAACCTGGAGGAGGAAGATGACGATGATGATGATGAAGATAGGAGGAGAGGAGGAGCAGAGAGAGGACCTCGACTCACCCTGAAGGAGAGAGGAAAGGAGAGGAGAGACAGAGCCTGCTGGTCCTCCTCCATCTCCTCCTTCCTCGTAGGAGATGAAGAGGAGGCTCCCGGCGTTCCACTCCTCCTCCTCCTCCTCCTCTCCTCCACCACCAGGTCATGTGACAGGAAGTGCCTGACGTTCTGCTTGGCGACGTGGACCAATCGGTGGTCTAGCTCCACCCCCAGGATGTGGGTGGGGCCAAACCTCCGGGCGACAGCCACCGTCAGGTGACCGGCGCCGCAGCCCACGTCCAGCACCTTCTTGTCTCTGAACCACTCGGCTTCCAGGAGGCGGAGCCTCGGGTCCTCCTCCGCCCCCACGTGCCCCTCCCACCCATCGCCGTAGAAACCCTGGTAACCGTAGTAACAGCAGCGGTTGCCGTACTGGTAGCGGTGCTTCTTCTTCTTCCGTGGTGGCTGAGCCGAGCCGAGCCGAGGTCCTCCACACCTTTTGGGGGGGGGCAGCACAGAGGTCACGTGACCGAGTAGCCAATCAGATTACAGGATGTTTTACTTAAGGTGTAACACTCACCTGTCGGCTTTAGCCCCTCCCACCAGTGGCGTCTCGAATCTGGTTGGCCGAGCTGCGGTCGCCGTGGTGTCGTAGTCCGCTGACATCGTGGAGGTGGTGCGGCACCGTCTCCGTTGGCGACCGTCGCCCTGGTTACTGGGCTTGTGGGCGTGTCCCGGTGGAGGGTGGGTGTGTCTCCTGGGGAGGATGGGGGGCGGGGCTACGTCGTCCCGACAGGTGATGGCCGTGTTGAGCTCACAGGGGAGAGGAGACGCTGAAACACTGCCCCCTCTGGTCAACACAGGAACTACACACAACAAATATTCATATTTAAACTGTTGCCAAATCTACACCGTTTATCTCAGGCAGAAGCTGTAAGAACTGTCATGACCGCCAGGTTCTCATCTTTCTGACGTTCCTTGAACACATCATGTGTGACGAACGCTTCCGGCAGGAAAATTCAGCCAAGACTAATCTTTAAATTGTGATATTTAATCAAACTTGTTATGCTACATGTCTCATTTAAAATCTCTCCTCAAATAAAGCATTCACTGTAACCAGATTGTGTAAAAACATTAGTGTGAAACTATGACGTCATGATTGATTCATCTAAGACCAACAGTCATGTGACAATAAATCAGAGAAGATCCAGGTGTTCCAGTCTCACCTGTGAGTCCAGCTGTGGAGGGAAACAGTCGAGCTGGTAGCTCCTCCCTCTCTCCCCCCCCTCCTCCTCCTCCGCCCCCCCCCCCTTCATGGTGTCGGTTCCTGTGTCTCCTCCTGGACTTCGGGGGGGTCTTCAGGACTCCTCCCCCTCCCTTCCCCCCCCTGCTCCCCCCTCCCTTCAGGTTCAGCGGGTCTGTGATGTCACGAGGAACCAGGATCTCTACGGGGTCTCCGCCCCTCAACGGCAGGGGTGAGCACTTTGGTGTCTCCTGATTGGTCGCCCTGAGGAGGAAGAACGATAACGCTGACGTAAGAACAATCACCAACCGATCGACCAATCATTCAATCAATCATTGGATTAAAGGCGGAGCATCGTACCTGTTGACGTCTTCGTCCAATAGGGAGTTGAGGTTGAGCGGGTCGAAGATGTTCCCGCCCAACAGGAAGTGACTCGGCAGAACGGGCTCCGATTGGCTGTCGCTGACGGCGCGTCGGCGCCGCTTGGCCAGCCCCTTGAAGCCGATGCCCATCGAGTAACGCCTCTTAGCGATTCGCTGGACGGGGTCCACGGGGGCCTGGCTGTTGCCGGGCAACTGGAGGCCATTCTTAGTGAGCAGGGGGCGGGTCTTGGCTGGCTGCGGCTGCTCCGATAGGCCGACGGTGCCGGGGAAGGCGGGGCTGACCTCGTGAGGGAGGATGGTCTCCGTGTCCAATGACATCCTGATCATCTTCCACCTGCGGACGGATCAGCCAATCACAGAGCTCACAATTATCTTAAATAAATACATTGATTTGTACTTCACTTTATCCATCAGACAACTTTAGCTGAGAGTTCATGAAATCTGATGTTTAGTCATAAATTAATTAATTTAAAGTGTACTTAAAAATACTGTTACTGCTGTAAAAGTAATAATACCGCAGTGTAAAAATATATATATATACATTATATATTCTTTGTATTAGTACTTTTACTGCAGTTACATTTTACTGCATTTGTTCAGTGTGGTGTTAGCACTTTTACTGAGGATTAATAATCATTAATAATAATAATCATCATCATTAATACTCATTAATACTCACTCTGTGCTGCAGAAACAGTCCACTTGTCCTCTGACGTGTTTTATCATTCACACGCAAACCCTCTCTGGCCCCGCCTCTGTCGCTGTCTCCACCAATCACGGAGCGCCCTCATGAATAATTAAAACCGACCCGAGGAACAGCCTGGTAAACAGTTAGCTTCTCCAGCTAACATGCAGGAAGTAGCTAGCGCGGAGCTAAAAGTCCGCTAACACACGCACACAAACTATATGCGTGAAACGAGCCCCTGCCTGAGCTGCCCGTGCGTGTGCGTGCGTGTGTCAGTGCGTGTGTGCGGGGCGATAAATAATGACTTCTGCTAAAGTGTTAGCTGTTAGCCGCGACTAGCTGCTAGCTTCTTCTCGCCGTGCTCTAGATTCGAGCCCGCTATTTAATACGTCAGCCGCGGTTAGACCCGTGAGTGACGGCGTAGTCCTCCAATCACGTGCCGAGCTGAGCTACGGTCACTCCCTCAAGTTGCCACCAATCAGACGACCACTCCACTCGAGAGGTCGTCTGATTGGTCGCAGCTCAGAGAGGGGGCGGCAGAAGGAGAGAGGCGTCCTGAATGGTGCCTGATAGGAAACACATCACGGCGGGAAATAAACCATTTAACAATCAAAAGTAAACACATATCCGTAAACCTTCAGCGGCTTCACACGGTTTATGTGTCCAACAAGGTTCTGACCGAAGACGGATGGTTTTCTGTCTGTTTTAGCGCCACAGAGAGACATCTTTATCAATAACATTAGCCCTGTGCACAGGATTGCAGGCAACTGAAACTCTCTGGCTGCAGTTCATGTCCTCCAAGAAAATCTATCAACCAAATTCCTCAGTTTATTAAAAAAGAGTAAATATCTGAGTTTATAGTCCACCTATGACATATAGTCACGAAGTTGTTACGTAATTAAGAATAAAGTCAGCCTGAGAGGCAAGGCGTAGGGCTATGGCACACCTGTTTATGTTTAGTAGGTTTTTGATTTTCCTCAAACTGATCAGTTCATGCTGATTAGAGAAACACTTTGTGTGTTCAAATAACTTTTCCTTCACTTAAACAATTTAACTAATTTGTTGACTTTTATTTTATTTATGTTATGCACATATTCCCAGTAGTCTAGTGGTTCGGGTCCATCCCACAGAGGGACCCCGGTTTCATTCCCAGTAGTCTAGTGGTTCAGGTCCATCCCACAGCAGGTCCCTGTTAGATTCCCAGTAGTCTAGTGG